AAAAAAAAAAACTAAAAAAAAAAAAGAACAATCTTGAATCAGAAGGTCAGAAGTTCTCCACTGCTACAATGTAAAAATGCAAATTATTGGAGAATTGATTTTACCAATTATTTTCTTATTTCTTATTTCAATATTCAAATAGCAAAGAAGACAAAACATACCTCAATTTTTTTCTAACCAAGAAACCACGTATCCATCTTTGAACAATCAAAACTGGTGAATTATGAGCCAGAATTTTATTAATTTTAGAAATAATATATTTAATATTATTAATTTCATCCTCATAGGTTGATCCCTGTATGAGAAAACATATTCAAACATTTTTATCTTTCATCAAAATATTTTCACAAAATATTTTAAACTTGATCATCTAATGGTATGAAGAAACTAAAAAAAATTCATAAGGTCTTATAATAACAGTTAAATAATAAATTAATTTTCATATTAACTTCATTAGTGTAAATGAACAAACATTATTAGCATCAAATAACATCAATTCTCTACACAAATGCAGGATTCTTGATAGTAACGTTTTCCATTACAGATTCTTCTTCCAGTGTGATAACATACGTATAAGATTTTGACTAGAATCATTCCTGATCTCTGACAGGTAGTGGCATAAACTCATGTCCCAGGAAACTCCAGAAGTATCCTGTGGATATCCATAAAAAACAATAATAGATGTTGGATTCATATGATAATTTATGTGAGTTTAAACTTTTGTTGTAGCTTAACTAGATTTTGGATACTTTTATTGGAACATATCACATTTCCATGGAAAAGATACTCATATTGCCCTTAAGAAAGATCTCTCCTGAAAATTCTTAAATGTCTGATCCTAGACGCATTATGTCTCCTTGAGCTGTTGAATGTGGGATAATGCCTTGAAAAGTTAACACGTACATTCTCTTCTGCATCACTCCTAGGATTACTAGCCCGATAACATTCAAAACACAAATGAAGGACTCATTGCTGATTAGTAGATTTTTTGCTAACAACAATACTACTTGCAAATTCTTAATATTATTTATTCAGTACTCTTTAAGTCTTTCCCCTAAAGCTTCCTAACATCCCACTTTCTTTGTCACAGAGAAAAACAGGGCCATCAAGTCTGAACTTCATCTACCAATTCCCCTCTTTTCGCTACAAATTTAACTATATTCTTATTTACTCTGAGTAGAATATTCCTCTACTCAATTTTATATTAAAAATATGTAATATTTTCAAGTCCAAGACTGGTTATGAGTCCCATCCCTCTATTTTTGTTTGTTTGTTTGTTTTTGAGACAGAGCTTCAGGCTGTCGCCCCGGGTAAAGTGCTGTGGTATCACAGCCCACAGTAACCTCCAACTCCTGGGTTTAAGCAATTCTCTTGCCTCAGCCTCCCGAGCAGCTAGGACTACAGGCACCTGCCACAACGTGCAGCTATTTTTTTGGTTGTAGTTGTTGTTTGGTGGGCCTGGGCCGGAGTCAAACCTGCCAGCTCTGGTGTAGGTGGCTGGTGTCTTAGCTGCTTGAGCTACGGGTGCCACCCACTGATCCCTCTATTTTTAATTACTTCCCTTCTACTGGCATTATCCTATCATAATTTATAAATATTATAAAACTTCACTCATGCTTAAAATGCATACATATGAATAAGCACACACACCCCAACTCTACATCCTTTATATTTAGTTTTCATTAAGAGACCAAATTCTTGAAACAGAATTCTAGATATGCTTCTCCTACCTTCTCCATTCCTATATTTTGGTCCACTGGTTTTACCTTTATTGTCCCAGGATAACTCTTTTTTACATAGTTAACATTGGACATTCCCTCCCTAAAACACTTCCCTTCAATTCTATACACCATTCCTCTCTTGTTTTCCTTTAACTCTTATTTACTTTGGGAATGTTAATGCCATATTCATCATTTAAATGGCATGTTGATAGAATTTTCTTTTTAATCTATACAAACTCTCCGAATCCACAGCTGTAATACTCACCTGTACCCAGACTTGACATCTCTCCTGAGCTACATAAGAAGACAGTCATATGGACAGCTCATTACATTTAACTATCTCCAACAAGAATCTTCTCTCGGCTTGGCGCCTGTGGCTCAAGCAGCTAAGGCGCCAGCCACATACACCTAAGGTGGCGAGTTCAAATCCCCAGCCCGGGCCCCAAACAACAAAAACGGCTGCAACCAAAAAATAGCTAGGCATTGTGGCGGGCGCCTGTAGTCCCAGCTACTTGGGAGGCTGAGGCAGGAGACTTGCTTGAGCCCAGGAGTTGGAGGTTGCTGTGAGAGTGATGCCATGGCACTCTACCCAGAGGGACAGCTTGAGGGTCCGTCTCAAAAAAAAAAATCTTCTCTCCCCAACTTGCTTTCTCATATCTTCTATCTTAGTGAATAGCACAACTAATTATCTAATCCAGAAACCGTGGGTTCTAGGGTTTCCAGGCTTTCTTTTCTTTTTGTGTCTCTGTATATAAATATTACTAGATCCAGAATATTCAACATCCCACATATTTATTTAGACTTTCTTTTTCTTCTATTTTCTGCCATTACTTTACCTCATGTCTTTATCACGATTTTCTTTGCTTACTAAAATACTCTTAATTGGTATCTGTATTAATTTCTATTCCAGCTACTCTCTCCAAACCATAACATGCTCTATTGTTAGTGTGAACATTCCGTAATGCAAATCCAATCACATGCCATGCTTGCTCAGTGTATCTCATTGACCTCCCACTGAAAGGCCAATTACTCATTTTCTGACCTGTGTGACCTGGCACACAAGGTCCTTGGTCTAGTCCCTTCCAACCTCCTCGATCTCATCTCCCTTCATCCTGCACAGGAATACCCCCAGCTTCGGCAATCTCCAACCATTTATGCTCCTGAAAATTGCCTGATAATCAAATTGCAATGCTCTTTACAGATCCCATTTCTGTTCTTGAACTGCCTTTGTCAATTATTTGTATCACTAACTTAGCATCTCAGCTCCTTCTTTCAAGAACTCTTTCTTGATGTTGGTCTGAGTTTGGCATTTTCCTATAACATTGTCCTGTGCAATAACTTGCCACATTCAACATTCAACATTCCTGTTGAATTTTACATGAACCCTGTGTGCCTGGAAAACAGTGGGAAGTTATGACGTGTCTTCATCACTTCTTTCAAGACGTGGCTTATTGCAAAGAAGCATTCTTCCCCTATGCCTGACTGAGATACTAGTCATGGGGGCGGCGCCTGTGGCTCAAAGAAGTAGGGCTCTGATCCCATATGCTGAAGGTAGTAGGTTCAAACCCAGCCTCGGCCAAAAAATAAATAAATAAGAAAAAGAGATACTAGTCATGGATGCCCTCCTTGTTTACCTAGAAGGCCTGACACAGACTTTCAAATCTCCATTCTTTACATGTTAATGATAGAGCTGAAAAGTTTTGTTCCCACTGATCAATTAGGACAAAAATATTCTCTAAGACCAACAATTGGTTTTTTTCTTCTTCCCCTAGGAAGAAGATTCCTAGTTATTTGTAGCCTTCTTTATTCCTGCCCCCACTTAAAAAAATTTAAAAGTACAAAAAAACTTTAAAAGCATTTGCAGATCTTATGTCAGAACATTTTGTGATAACCCCTTTCTCTCATTTGCAATAAGCCTTTTGAATATTCTCTCTTTACTAAGTCATGTATTTTCTTCTAATTTAACGAGCCTATACTGTTATACAATTATTGGTCTATTATCTCCACTTAAGTTCACCACATTTAAGAACTCTTCATCCTATCTATCTAGAACTAAGTAAGCTCTCTAAACTATAATAGGCTTGTGATTACCAGCTGACTACGAAATCACTAAGTTATTATCACTGTTGGCCTCTAAGCTTGATCTGACAATGTTGAACAGTTTATTCTTGTAACTCAATTCTTTTATTTGGCTACAGTGACATCATACTGTCAATTTTTCCACCTTATTAATTTTTATTTCTCAGTCTGTTTTGCTGATTCATCTTTCTTGTGAACCACTTAAACATCTGGATAACTTAGAATTTCTTCCTTTCCTTCTTTTGCTAACTCTCCTCAAATAATCACTTTCCTTGCTAAATCTTACCATCTCACATATGCAGATTATCCACATATCTGTATCTCTTGTCAGGAATTCTCTCTTAAATTATAGACATATAAAATGGATTTCCAATCCCATTTCTCTATTACATGTCAAAAACCAAAAACAATTATCTCCTCCATTTGAATCAGTCCACGCCTCTCACTGGATTAGTATGGAGTCATTAAAACTATTCTTCATCTTGTCAACCAAATAAAAAACCCTACATTCCTCTTTCTCTCACACCCCTTTCCATCCAGTAAATCACAAAAATACATCAAGTAAAAATCTCTCCAAAGTGTTCCCTCCATTCTGTACCCTCTACCAGTTTATTAAATCAGTCTTTATAAGCTAAGACCTACACGATCGTAATAGACTCCTCACTAATCCCCCCACCCTCAATTTCCCTCCACTCCAAAACTATAGAATACAGGAAGATTTTTCTCTGGAATAAAAATTGAGTGATGCAAAAGCCTGAAATATTTCCCCAAATTCTTACAAGACTAACTTCTATCTTCTTAGTATTACATATAACATCCTTTGCTATTTTAATTTTGTTTTGTTTTTGTCTCCAGCATCATCTGACATGCTCAAACATGCCCTCTAAACTCAGAGAACACTAAAATACTTGTCACTTGAATGTGCCAGATTCTATCAGTACCTCTGTGCCTTTGCAAATGCTTCCATCCCACTCTGCCTCACATATTCTACACTCATGCCAACACCTCTATTTGCCTAGTGATTTCTTACATTCAGAAACCTCAACTGAAGTATAAATACTTTCGCTTTTTCCCCCATGACTAGATTTGAACTTCAAAGTTTTTTAAAGAAAATATATGCATTTCTTTCATAGATTTTGTCCAGTATCGAGATTCATAAATTTGTCATTTTTCTTTTCCTCTGATCATTGCTTCTTTATTTGCTTTAATTCTCTCTACTAAAATTCTTATTTTGTGTATTAGTATCCTGTATCTGACTTCCATGTCTTACTTTTTCTTCTCATTTTGCCCATTTCTTCTCAGTTTGATGAAGCCATTCTATCAAAAGCCAGCTTTCTCATACTGAGTTTTCTATTTTGCTTATCAACTACTCCAGTCTAAGTTCCTTTCTGAAGTTCCCAACTGCCCTATCTTACATGAGTTCTTCTGTTACCAGAATATCTCTACTGAGTCCTTGGTCTCCAGAAAGCAAAGAATGAATTCATGGATAACATGG